ATTCTTTTGTCATATCAATCATTGTGCCTGATAACGATAAGAGGATACTTATCGAAACGTTGTGCTTGTGTATAATAAACCATAAACTGTGTTATATACGTTATATTATTTCCAATCGCTAAATGTCACTAAAGGATAATGCATAGGATTATTAATTTTTTCACGCGCTTTTTGTGCTCTATTTATTAGTCGAATTTTTATTTGTACGTATGGCGATATCCATAAATGGTTTATCATTTGGTCCTATAGTTACTACTTTTCTTGGGATATACTGTAATATAGTAGGGCGTTAAACCCCATTTCATTTCATTTATTTTAATCACTTAAAACAAATTTGATAGATTTGATTAATGGCATCATTTATTAAAACATTATTTAAACTTTCAATAATCAACAGGTTTATAATTTCTATGTTAATTGTATGATGTATATTCAAAGATTATGATTATTGGTGAATGTGTACTGCATTAACATTAGTGTCTGATTTAAGCGATTTCTTATTACTAATATAAAGATCAATACATGAACCGTCGTACAGTTAGTAGGTTCTATAAACAGGCTTTCACGATATAAATTTATAATAGTTTTGTTTTTAATTTAATACAATAAACTTGAATTACTTAAAGTGTTGATGTTAAAATAAAAATGTTAAGATTAGTTGTTTAACATTTAATAAAAATATAAACGCTAGATATTCTCCCAGCTGGGATTCAAACGACTCCACGAAACATAAAGATGGTGCTATATAACGTGACAATAAAACGATTTGGAAGAAATAAAAGCGAAATAACAAAATAACATTTTTAAGAAAGCATTTTAAGGCAAAGAGTAAAGTGATCATTAATGATTTACTTGAATGCAAAGAAAATTATTTCATCAAAAATTACAAACCAGAATTAAATAAACGGATATTATAATAAGAGATGAAATAATTCTCTTTTCATTGATAAATAAAAAAAAATATGTTTATGCATAAATAAATAAGAAATACGTCCAGGTAAAAAAACATCACTACTTTACTTCATTCTGATATGCATTAAATCATATAAGCTATCTGCCTGCCGAACCTTGCTGTTTTGGATAAATATGGAATTATCGATGATTACTATATTCCATTATCCCAGCTATTAATTTCAATTTGATAATTCTGGATTTTTATGTGCTGACTTTTTTTTTCAATTATATTACAAAAAGAATGATACCCGTAACTGGACATGGTGTCTGTGGAGCTTGTAAATAAATATTTGTAGGGCGGTCCATGTGAACTGATTTAAATCATAATTTAGGCAATGCAGGTAGTAATTATCAGATAGTTAATAAACCATACCACCAGATATAAATCAACCCCATGTATATCTATTAAGATTTCCTAAATATTTAAAGATACATTATGGGAGATTAGATAAAGAGCTGGCAGTTCTCACTGTAATAGTTAAAAACTAGAAAATGTAAAAGGAATATGCTGAAAATTTCAGTCAAATTGATCCACCATGAACCGAGAATTAAGCATTTGAAATTTCGGCCTAGCCTCGGTCATCATTACTAAAGACGGTACGATAAAAAAAACAGAATCTTAATTATCCATTTCGTGATTATATCATGAATAAAATAAATATCGCAGGCTAGCGTTGATTATGGTCTGGATAAGTTAATTAATGTCTAATTAATAATTTAGATAACATTTCAATTGGCGTATTTAGCTCATGCATAATGTATGTTTAATTTAAAAAAATAAATGTGATTGATTCGTTTTTAGAACGATTTTATTGTAAGTGCGTTTTTAATTGTTATTGGTCCCAGATTTCAACTGATATTTGAGTGAAGGGGTAATTCTAATATCTTGATTAAAAGAGTTTCATGGTGTGTGCTCGTGTGGCGTAATCAACAAGGGGTTTTAAAAAGTTAGCAATATATTGATCATATTTTCCCGTTAAGATCTTGTACTCCTACTCATGCAAATACATGTATATTCAAGAAAGGTTGCCATTGGTACTGATATAATATGTATGTTATTTTCGACATTATATCACGTCATATTTATATTCATGAAAATATCCCCGGTAAGGTTTTTATGAAAGTAAACATTAACGTATATTAGTTCTGAAACTAAGTTTCAAAGAATATTTCCTTAAAAAGAATATCTTATATTGAATCGAATCAAAAGAGTTATAAAACACACTGAGTAGTTATGACCTATCACACGATCTCAACATTACACCTTTTGAATATTTAATAACATGTTTATGAAGGATTTTTTGTATAAAATAAACAATTACTGTATTTCTATGAAAGCTACGTTTGAACAAAGATGCAGTAATTGTTATCCATAGAACGGCTGTGTTTATTTTAATGTGTTCAATTACTAAATGCCATTCAAACAGGATAATATGTAATATGTAATGCATTCTGAAACTAGATATGTTGTATTTAAAGTAGCTAAGTCTCTAACTCAATATCATCCAAAACCTTCGACATTGAAAACACGAATTATTTGTCAATTGTAATCAACATTGATGTTGTGATCTTACCGGGAAAAGATGGGCTTCCGATGTCCAATTTAAGACAAAATAAACATTTTTCCATTGGTATACGAATCGTGTACCACAATGCGTTTCAGCGTCATTTGTAACAAGCGACTCGAAGAACGAGGTTAGACATATTCCACAAGTCATGTCAAACGGTGACCACATATTCTTATCTGGAGAGCATGCACGATAAATACTATCAGTGTAGACTGTAATAAACAGACGCTAGAGGTTGTCATTCGGTTGAGAATTCTGGCGTATTTCGCCGAACATAAGTGCTTTGAAATTAGAATAAAAACGGAAAAAATTGAATGTAAATCAGTTTATATACATTCATGTTACATTATTATATACGTTGCGACCCATTTGTGTCAATTTGTAGGTCCCAGATATTAGCGATTTAGCTCCTTTAACACCTACGTCCCGCTCATAGAACTGTTATATGAACCGGTTTAAAGTGCTTATAAACAATTTCACAGTTCCTCAAATGACGTATTGGAAATTGATAAAAGAAAACGTACATTTTCAGTCGTATTCGATTTATTTTTCTTTTACGTAGATTTGTATTTGTGGCTCTGCATTAAATCAGTTATGCAGCTATTTGTTGGGTAGAAAACAGTGTATTATAGTCAGTTGTAAATCGTCGTGTGAATCTGCTTTATTATCGTCATCATCTGGGATTCCTCAAGGTTCTGATCTTGGTCTTCGAATCCCCGGTTGTACGTGACAAGGAGTATAGTCGCCTGTCCAACCTCGTGGGTTTTCTTCGGGTCCTCCGGTTTCCCCCCACTGCTAAAGACCCCTATGCGCAAGCGAATTATTGAAATAAAATTAAACCATGTTAGTCCCGAAATGACCTAGTTTGTTTCGAGTGGACGTTAAACACCCCTCTCTCTCTCTCTCTCTCTCGCTCTCTCTGTTCTTGGTCCGATTTTATTTACGCTGTATACGTGACCATTAGGCGACACTGTCAGAAAATATGGTCTCAGCTATCATTTATACGCAGATCATACTCAGATTTATACTTCTTTTAAACCTAAGTGTCAACCTTTCAATTCATCATAAATACAACTTCAGAACTGCATTAGTGAAATTAGAAATGTCAAAAAAGTTCTATAATTGAATGATGATTAAATCGAATATATTAGGCTCAAGGCATCAATTAAGTAAATTTGTACGCGTAATATCGGCGCAATTTTCTATAGTTTTATAGAATAGTCCTACACCCCTTTTCTTCTTTTTAAGATAGATGACAGTTTAGACTTTCTTAGGTCCATACACTACAACTTGGGCTGCATTCAGTTGTATTGTTTTAGCAGGAGTTTCTGTATGTAATGTTTAGTTTCAAATTATTTTAGAAAACTGTTCAAATCTGTTGGGTTTCTACTGTTGTGTAGTTTAAAGGGTCTGTCTAGATTAGATAATGAGTGTTGGGTGGGTCTGTCTAGATTAGATAATGAGTGTTGGGTTTATAACTGTTTAGTTCCTTGAGTAATTAACAGACTAATTAATTACCCAACACCCTTTGAGAAATTCATTATCTAATCACACAAACCTCCAACAGATATAAACAGTAAAGGGTTTTGGGCATGTTAACGGTTCTAGTTGATCAATTTCCCTCTGAATTAATTATGAATATTATATGATCCGTTTACATCTGCTTTACATTGTCTGAAGTCTATAACCAGAAAAAGAAACAAACAAAAAACACTTTAAAGTGTACATCTGTCATATCGTAAAAAATAAAACTGTGTATGTGCTGGGAATATCTGTATTAAACGAAATCTAGATTATATATCACTGGGATAAAGCGAAATGTCAGTCGTGCCATCATTACATAACGCATATGAAAAAGTCTTGTCAACATTCACCAGGCACATCTCGCTACCAGTTTTAGACAACACATTTTGTTATTGTATTTACAACCGTATAAAATTTATGCCATAATCCCGACCATGTCATTGAGTCGTATATATTATACTATTATGAGACAAAATAGATAATATCTTTATTGTTGTATTATGTACAGTTAAAGTCGACCTACAACCAACCGGACCTAGTAAACCAGAGAAAGCCCACGAGGCTGGACAGGCAACCCTACTCCTTGTCACGTACAACCGGGGAATCGAAATCTCGCCCGTTGACTCAGTGACAGACCTTATGATACAGCGCGCACGTGCTAACCATTCGGTCATAAGTTAAATATAATAATAATGATTACATAAGTCTATCTTGAATTGCTATTATTAAATTATAGAAGATTAAGACGAGTTCTGTAGCTTAATTATAAACCGCAAATGTTTGATAGTAGTACCTATATAGAGACAATGGTGTAGGGCATATAGTTTGCATTTTATTATACGTTCTTGGATAAATAAATGACTTAATATATGTATTTTATTATATGTTCTTAGATAAATAAATAAATGATTCATAAGCTGATATTTGTATAAAATATTATTGCACTTCTTTCAGACATTCGACTAGTATTACTAGGAAAGAAAGGTGTAGGCAAAAGTTCCCTGGGAAACAGTTTGCTTGGGAGAAAAGAGTTTAAATCGACTCCTCTGCAAGCAAAATGTCGGAAAGGATCGACCACACTTGCAGATGGAACCAACCTCGATGCTGTTGACACACCAGGCATTGCGGACACTACAGCTTCGACCACGGAGACATTTGAAGAACTTACACGATGTATAGAGCTTTCAACCCCAGGTCCCCACGTGTTCCTGCTTGTTCTGAAGATTGATAGATTTACACAGGAGGAGATAGACACAATCAAACATCTTAAATATTGGTTTGGGCAGGATTTCATGAAATACGCAGTATTTATTTTCACCGGTAAAGATTCACTGGATTATGATGGTTCAACGATTAACCAGCATCTTGAGAACAGTCCGTCTGAAATGAAAGCACTTATCGGGGACGCAGGCAGGCGGGTTGCAGCAATTAACAACCGGGGTCGTGGTCCTGAACTTGAAGTCGATGTTAAGACCATAATGACTCTAGTAAAACAAGCCATACGGATTAACAATTGTCAATATTACACCAAAGAAATGTACCAACAGGCTGTACAGGCGCGTGCCAAGCAACCAGGTTGGGTGGAAGATGAGCAATTTAATGGCGAAAAAGATTTGCGAATACGTGAAACATTAAAGAGATACAGAGAAGACGAAGAGGCACAGAGAACCAGAAAAAACAAAGGTCTGTATAAAATTGAAATTGCTGTAATCAATAATAAAACAAATATTTGCTTTGGGACAGTTTTGCATGTTCAGTATTTTTCCACCTTGTACACCGTGAAGTTATATAAGAAATATCAATCTCCGAATCCTATCCGACACTCGTATACATCCTTACCATTTTTATCTTCATTACAATCATTGGTCCATATTGTGCATGGTGACTCACCCACCCTTATCCTTTAGTTTAGAATTGTATATATGGTGGAGATCACGAAACAAAAGTTGTAAAGTATACAAATTGTCACAGTAAAGAGAGCATCCTAGGTAATCATTCATTAGATCCATTACAAGATCATTAATCTCCCCATTAGGTGCCGGAGCCACACCTGTATAAATTCTATGTTTTACACAGTAACGATCAGTTGAATTGCAAAGTTTTGATACCATACCTATCAGGTTTATTCGGATTATATGTTTTAAATCCTAACTTGCCGCGCCATGGAATTACACCTTCGTCGGTTGATAGTTTCTCAGGCGGGTGGGGGAGGATATATTTCCGAAAAAGAAGAGGGGATCGTGTCCATCATCACCACATGGAAACAAATTGGCATTGTCATTCAGATGAAAAAATGATCAAATATTTCGAAATCTGTCACATGGCATGACCGAACCCAAAAAGGGACACTTGCGACTGAATCAGAAGTACCCTGAAGATTTATCAATAGTAGACGAATTACTAAACAAATAAATACTATCATTTCTTCCTCAGACAAATCTCTCCATTTACGAAATCTTGATGAAGATATCAAATTGGTATTATTGTCACGGCAATCTTTAGTATAGCGGTTTGACTCCACGGTCAATGCATGATAAATAATATCCCTAATATAAAGTCTCAACAGGAAGATCAATGTTATATTTTAATCCAGAATTTCGGTGAACTTTTCCGATATATTTTCCCAAGTGACCAGGAATTTCTATCCAAATTTAATTCATTATCACCGGTATTCAACACACCAACCCTCCCAACAGAGTTTGTTGCTATCGAGGTGTCCACTCGTCAAAAGTTGTCATCAAATTTCAGCTGAGTTCACTGTTTTCATCGTTGAATAATATGTCCAACACTTCCTCGGCAATTAGGCGTAACATAACGTCACGTTTTATATACTTGTTTGCGACGAGTGGGCGTTAAACCCAACTTCTCTCTACCTCTCTCTGTTTGTCAGGGTGGTTCACATACATAAATTATGTAAGCATGGTTTTTCAGATCTTTTCTGTTTTCGCGGGTGTGTGGCTCTAACCTTGCTTGTATATATATATATATATTTCATATTTTACAGATCTGCACATTGAAACCATGCCATCAGAGAATTCGAACAGTGGTATGTATATGATATCTTAATAGCTCTAATTAAATATTATATAGTTTTATCAATATCCACAGTACAAGCATATTCTTTCTCCGCTGAGGACAGGTGGTAATAATTCCCAATTCGGTTTAAATACTCCAGAAACTGCATTATTATGGGTTGGTGCGTGTATGAGGAACTCCCAATTTTCTAGGTTTGTTTGAATTCGGAATGATGATACATGTGTTTGTTCTATCTTCAGAAATTAGGATCGTCATTCTTGGTAAAACAGGAGTGGGTAAGAGCTCCCTGGGAAATCACCTGATACAGAACAACTGCTTCCAATCAAGTTCTACTGGAACATCAGTCACGTCCATCTGTCAATTCGGCCAGGGTAAGCGTAGTGACGGCACTACATTATGTGTAGTGGACACCCCCGGCCTTTTTGACACCAGACAATCCAATAAGGAAACAATGACGGAAATTGTTCGATGTATTGGACTGTCGTCTCCTGGTCCCCACGTTTTTTTCTTTGTACTCCGAATCGGTCGATTTACAAAGGAAGATTTGGACACAGTAGATCATCTAGTAGCCGTCTTTGGGGAAACGGTTGTCCATCATGTTGTTGTCATCTTCACTGGAAAAGACTCTCTGGAACATGAGGGGAAAACATTATCTGATTATCTCAATGACAAGACAACCCCACACGAGCTCAACCTATTATTACAGCGCTGCCATTCACGTTGTGCTGCTATAAATAACCATGCTCCTGATACACATGCAGATATTGACGGGATAATTAACCTGGTGCATAAAACCATTCAAGAAAATGGTGGAAATCATTACACCGGCAAAATATATTTAGCCGCTGAAGAGGCCATGCGAGAGAAAATGAAGAGCATGGAAGAAGGGCGTAAAACAGAAAGGCAATATGCTGAACGTGAACAAACAGAAATGCCACAGGAGAAAGAGAAACTAATGGCTGGGTTGGGTGAAAACATGAGTTCCGATTCCCGTAGTATTCTGCGGGAGTTGTTAGCAAGTTCTAGTTTGATCCTTACAAGTCTTATTGAGACAGTTGGTCCAATTCTCGTTACTGCTCTAGCCCAAATAGCACAAAAGCGATGTACTATTAGTTAGATCAATAGTAGAAATACCGTCAGATGTGGATGTCATTCGACGGTCATCTTGTTTTATCCATTTATCTTGTTTAGTTAATTATAGTACTTCATAAATTTGATAATGCATGGCATTATGGTTGTATTAGCTGATATCTACACAACACATCTGACGTTACCTATGATATAATTGAAACGTAATATTGAAAAGGGGATAAGTAAGGGTTATCGATTGAGACAGAGGGGTTCAAGTTAGATGAACATCCGAGCTCATGCAAAGTTGTGCACCGAAAAGACGGTGTTTATCTAACTTGATCCCGAGGTCGATGTCGGTAACTGACTTGCACACTGGATACTTTGTAGAAGTTGAATGAGTGAATGAAACAGTTGCTGTGAGAGAGGTAACCTGGAGGGGTGGTCTGTGAAATATAGTATTATTCCTGTGGGTTTTTTTAAATACTCCAACCTAAAACTTAGAAAAATACGAATTTGGTGGGAAAGCAGTGTATCCACATATCCGCCATACCTTATGTAACGATTTGTTTAATGTCATCTTCAGTTTACTAAAGACAAATACCGAATCACCATTTCCACCTGTCCATGGTTATTCCCGAATGTCGATAATTCTTAAACTTCTTCCCCCTATTAGTTTTCAGTTTTAATGCGTATTACGTAAGAGAACGTTTTTGAAAAGTAACTCGGTTCTATCCGGCATTTTGAACGTGGAAGAAATTGTGACAATATGAAAATATATATATCTAGAACGCACTTAAGATCAATTGAAAATAAATCTAATTCTGTTAATATTACTACGAACATAAAATGGTGACGTCACGTTTATATTTTAACTTAAGGTAGAATATTTTCTTATTATATTATGCTTTTTTGGGGTTTTTGGTTTTTTTAGTAATAAAAATATTATTACTTAATTTTATTTTGATTTGCATATCTAAGCACCCCATATTCATTATTATAATGACATCATATGTTTACAATTAAAGAAGCTATATCGATATTCTTTGGCACCGAGAAAGGACATAAATAGGTTGCAACACATATTATAATGTAATATGAATGTATAAAAACTGATTTACATTCAATCGTTCCTGTTTTTATTTTAATTTCTAATCAGTTATGTTCGACGAAATACGCGAAGAGTCCGAAATGAACGACAGTCTTTGGCGTCTGGTTATTCTAGTCTACACCAGTAGTTTTGTCCTATATGGTGCATGTTTAGCCTCGATCATCGAGTCGCTTCATGCAAATGGCGTTCGAAAGCATTCTGGCACGCGATTCGTTTGCCAATTTTAAAATTTCCATTCTCTTAAATATCAGAAGCCAAACTTTTACTTTTAACGGTAAGATAACAACATGAATGTTGATTTAAATTGACCAAGAAGTCGTGTTTGCAATGTCGAAGACTGTAGTTGATATTGTGTTAAAGACTTGACTCCTCTAGTGTGTACAATAGTTTAGGACAGTTATTGTGCGGAATTGTTTTACCAAAGGTTGCTTTATTGTCCCTCAACTTTCGCGGGAAGCAGGGGACTATTAATTATGTTCGACGAAATACGCGAAGAGGACTATCAGAGGCGGATACAAGGGGCGCCGTCTCCCCCCCCCCCCCTAATTTTCGACAGTGCCCTTTTTTACTACTGAAAGTGCCTTTTCCCAGACCGAGATATGTCCGTTCCCAACCCGTTGCAGGGATCCCAAATGACTCAAACCATCGACTCAAACATATCAGTCTGGTCTAATTAATGCTTCCACTTTCAAACGAATTCTTGTGGTTTCGCTAACGGTGCCCTAATCCTATAGAGTGACTATAGACAGACATCAATGATAGCATCTTGTGGAATCGGCGGCGTATACACTCATGCCCATCACCTACGTGCATGAGTGCAACTTGATGTAGCATTGTTTCATGTGTGCACAGTACAAGTTACAAGGCTTAAATAGTGAAGTGGCTAAGGAATAGATTCGTCTTTTTTCCCCATCATAACCCCCCCCCCCCCCACCCAAAAAAAAAAAAAAAACCCACCGCGGTCAATGCCCACATTTTGCGGCGCCCCCCCCCCCCTTTCAAAATTCCTAGATCCGCCCCTGACTATTAAAGCGGCTTCGTTTTTGTCAGTCGTGTGGTTACTCTATTTCTAATTGATATCCAAACTTGGGGAAGTTCTGTTTATGCTAGGCAGAGAAAAGCAGTTTGATATGTAGATAGGGCGTTAAACTCCATTCCATTTATATGTAAATACTATGAATGAAATCACTTAAATGAAATGTTGTTTAATGCACAGGAATCTGACCTTCTATCCGTATATATATATGCATACACCATGTCGTACCAGACAATATATAATAAAAAAAACAACAGGAATGCAATGCCTGTTGAAAACTCGATCTTACCTGCTCTCGCTTCGGCTCGTTTTTTTTTTCAAAAATTCGTAATGTCAGGCAACCAAACCTCTGTCAATTCACTCAGATATGTTTTTCCTTCAATCTAGTCGTTTTGATTTGCATAAATACTCCCACAAAACGATATCATCGCCACTTGTTTCCAATATTTACATCGTTTTCGTCCATTTTCATTTTGTCACTGCCGCCATGCGCTGACGTCACACAAATAGACGCATTCGGCAGACCTCGTTTTTTTTTTGTTGCTGGGGTTGAGGGATTCTACCGATATTCGCCGAATATGTATAGACGTTTCACTGACGACCCTACTCCTTATTATGTGTTAACCATTCGGCCATTTTAGTAGCTTTTCATGTAAGCAATTTTAAAATGGGAGCTAAAGAATAAAATTTGCCTAATTTTTTAGTACCGTAGCTTTTCATGTAAGCAATTTTAAAATGGGAGCTATAGGATAAAATTTGCCTAATTTTTGTCACGTAAAAAAGTGATTGAAACCACCCCGCTTGACACGTCATGTTAACATTGAAAAGTAGACCAAAAACTCAGCAATCACCAGCGAAACATAACAATAGTTCTGAAACTAACTTGACAAAAATAATGTCATGATATTTGGTTAAATTGACATAGCGTTCGCAATGGTAAACAACTGATAAAATATAACGCCATTATCATTAGTGAAGATCCTCAATGGTGTTTTATATTCATAATTAAAAATAAACATTACATTTTAAAATTGATTCAGCCCAAAAAAAGTAGTAAATTATATTAGTTCTGAAACTAACTCTACAAAAATACTTCTTTGGGGTCATATGGCGTTAAATTAAAATGGTTTCAAATAAATATGTCCTGAAACCATTTTAAATTAACCCCATATGACACCAGGGAAGTATTTTTGTAGAATTAGTTTCAGAACTAATATAATTTACAATATTTTATTTTTTGTCCAAATCAACTTTAAAATGTAATGTATATCTTTAATGTTTCAAATAAATATGTCCTGGATTGCCGAGTGGTTAGCACGTGCGCGCTGTATCACAAAGCCTGTCATTGAGTCAACTGGCGTGGTTTCGAATCCCCGGATGTACGTGACAAGGAGTAGGGTCGCCTGTCCAACCTCGTGGGTTTTCTCCGGGTCCCCCGGTTTCGTCCCACTGCTAAAGACCCCTACGCGCAAGCGAATTATTGAAATAAAATTAAACCATATGTTAGTCCCGAAATGACCTAGTTTGTGTCGAGTGGACGTTAAACCCCATTTCTCTCTCTCTCTCGCTCTCTCTCAAATATGTCCTGAAAGTATACTATCTTACCTTGCGATCTAAAAATTATACGTTTTGTATTTCTAATTGTGTCAATTCTTGTCAGGTAATATGGAGCATATTTAAGTAACATAAGACCGGTTGTGTTTTAGATAACATTAAATGCGACTCCAGTTTTAAATTAAATCATTAAATGGAGATAGTATTATAATCCGTTTACATCTGCGCCATCCGATGGTCTAGAGAGTTGATCATCTAGAGAGCTGATTAGAAGCTCCTCGTGTGAACAAATGTCTAAATAATAATTTATATAACATTAAAAACGGTATTCAGACTAGCGTCATGCACGGTTTTTGCTCCAGCAGCCTCTTATGCCATTCCGCAGACTTTCGTTTCATATTGAGATCCCTTGGTGTCGTGTTCATGTATGCCTGTACTACATTTACATGGTCTAAAACCCACTGAGGGGTTTGTTGGGGGTGGATGACCGAATGGTTAGCGTGTGTGCGTTGTATTATAAGGTATAACTGGCGTGGTTTCGATTCCCTCATGGGTTTTCTCCGGTTCTTCCGGTTTCCTCCCTCTGCTAAAGACCCCTACGC